AAATATATACTTTATTTAATTTTTTCTTAAAGGGAGTGCAAAGTCAAAAGTGAACAACTAAAAGTGGAAGGAGGAGTAACAATTATTTGCACAAATATGATCATTTGTGGGGCTGATGTTTAGTTTTTAACCCCATTTTTTATAATTTTGCAACTTTAGACCATCTCCTCCTCCTTCATCTTCCTCCTTATTCCAGATGAGATTTAGCTCAAACTATAATCTATATCAAGTGAAAATTTAATGCGTATCTCCTCTATTCTCGTTTCTTACTTCTTTCCGTCCATCTTCGTTTAGTTCTCTGCTCCTCTTTCGTTGTTGCATATTTGTACTTTATTTTAAATGAGCAATTTGATTGCAAAAGCATTTAAAATAGACTTTTTGCTTCGTGTATCAATTTAATTTCTATGTTTCATAAACTCTACTCGAATAGAAAATATATGAACTCAAATAGAAAAGATATGAACGATCGGACAACACAAGATTGTAAAAAGTCATATGACCAATTTAACAAGATAGAATGAAAATAATACCAAAATGGAATCAGTTTCAATATAATTTAACTCTATCAAGCCTGTACGAGAGTTCACGGTGGCACTAAAATGTGAGACAGACACGATCTTCTAGACGTCTGTTTACTGGGTATTTTAGTTTTGATTAGTTGAAGTTGATAGTGTTGTTATACACTGTTAAGCAGAATCTTACCGTTTTTATTTGTTACTAGTAGAATGATCGCAAAGTAAAAGGAAGTTTACACAACCATATTGAGGAAGCTATAGGATTTCGAATGCAATGGTGCAAATATCAAAAGAATAGCATGTCAGACACCTTTACTTATTAGGTTTTGACACCTCAACTCGCTTAAAAACATGAATTTTAAATGCATAAATGGCACATAAGCTCAGTCATCGGCCACCAAATTGAGGTATTTGGTCTAAACTTCATAGAGTAGGAGGGCCAGGATAGTAAAGGTGTTTGTCAAGCTATTTTGCCTTTTAGGTATGTGCTGCAAATCTTGTGTCACAATGAAAACCAATAAACAACATTGCAAAAGGATTGTACTATCAAATCTGTCATTTCTGATTGCCTTTCGCTATGATTAGTACCAAACCTCACAAGACAGCAAACATACTAAGTATACTTAATTTCAGCATTACCTGGTGTCCAAGATAGCTCAACAGCATTGTGTGAAGAATTTAGCCATTCAAATTTCAGTGCCTCCAACAAAGTTCTGACCAGAACATGCTACAACTGACAAGTTGGGAGTTCAATTCAGGTGCAAGATGAATCATTAAAAGGCACAACACACAGAAGGATGACAATTGCACCTTTCATGATTCAGATGGTGAAGACATCTCATGCCTATGATTCTCTAATTTTATAGTCATCAACCTCAACAAATTTTAGAAGATTGTTGAGAACAGATTAAGTCAGAAAAGTAACCTAAAAGAACTGATCAATCCCAAGAAAAACATAAAACAGTAGATCGTTGTATATAGATAGATCAGAGACAAAGTATCCAAAATCTGGAAGCTGAAAGATAATTGTATGTGAAAACCTATCAGATGAAAGTCATCATATCAGAACAGTAGAAACCACCCAAAACCACATAAGACATCCAAGCAATAACTAAAAGAACCAGTTACAAAAATAGCAGGAATTAGATCTCACTGATCCTTTTTTCCCTCTCTTATGATCTCACTGATCTTAAGCAGCAATAGATGGCTTAGAAGCTGCAGAGAGTCTAGACCTCTTCTTAGCCAAACTCTCACTGCGCCTTTCTCTTTGCTCCTTCAACCTAGTAGCAAGAAGCTTCTGATAATCAGCTGCTTCTGACTTAGCCTTGGCAATTCTCTTCTTCTTGTCAGCAATTCTAGCTCTCTTTCTTTGCAAAGTCAAGGGTGTCACTAACCTTTGAATCTTAGGCGCTTTGCTCGCTTTTTTCCCTGTCCCCACAGAGCATAATAATAACATTTAAGTAAAGTACAAGATTTCCACTTCATGAGGAGCAGACACAAACACACTTGAACAAATGTAGTAATAGCTAATGACAAGAAGCTATAATAGTAAAGAACTTACCAGTTTTGGTTGTGAAATTTCTACGGTATGTGTTAACATACTTCCTGACATCATCTTCCTTGGAAAGATTGAAGAGCTTTCTAATCTTAGAAGCCCTCTTGGGTCCTCTCATCCTTGGTTTTTCAGTGTCGGTCAGCCCAGGCAGATCTTTCTCTCCCTTCTTAACAATAACCAGATTCAAAACAGAAAGATCAGGACTGACAATGCATCCACGGACAGACTTCCTTCTGCGCTCTCCATTTCGCCTACCATAACCACGGAAGCAAGGGGTACCTGTTTGATGTGTAAATGTTTAGGTACTTAAAATAACAGCTTTTAAAAAATCTTAAAATCATACATTTTGATGCAAAGAACAATTTAGGTGTGCCCATCAAGATCATTCTAAACATACCTCGGTAGAGCAGAAGGCGAACACGGCCAGGAGTTAACACTCCCTGCTTCATTGGAAAACCTTGCTTGTCACACCCTCCCATAATCTTGAAAACGTAACCCTTGAACTCCTGTCAATTGAAAATGACAATTATAGAAAGAGTTGACAAAATTTAATGATTTAAACCAAAAAACTGCATAGAAAAATGGAACAGAAACCTACATCCCCCAAAGCATCTCCGCTAACCTCCTGGGAGATCCTTTTGTCAAAGAAGGCTCGGCTGCATTTAAAGGCTTTAGCTTAGATAATGCTACTTCAAAATACATTATGAATGCATCATTGTCAATAAAACAAGATTGGACATACATGTTCAAACAAAATACAGAGACTGCTACATAAATCCATCAATTGACACAACAACAACGACCCAATAAAATCCCACTAATGGGGTCTGGGAAGGGTAATGTGAAGGCAGACCTTACCCCTACCCCGAAGGAGTAGAGAGGCTTTTTCCGAAATCAATTGACACCTATCATGCTAAGTAAAAAGTTATAATTATAACACAGAGATGACTACTATGGCTCATATAAATATTAGTTAAGGTCAGCTATATCAATCCACTTCACCGTTCATTCCGCTCCATCTAGGCTCATCCATTCCAATGTTCAACAATTTGTCTTAGAGACAAAAAAAATCAATTCACACTAATCCCTACAGTATTACTATAAGCTCCACCAAAAGCACAATAGATGGTACAAAAAGAAGTAAACAGAGGTTCACTAATCACAGTAAATAGGAATAAAGGTATTACGATATCCTTTATATTTGGCAATTATACGAATCAATCAACGAGACTGCCCTCAATTCCAAACTAGCTGAGCTCGTTCATATATTAATACTCTATAAACATTGTGGCCGTAATAATAAACTATAAGCATTCAGCTCTATTTATGTCCATTTTATTCCAATAATAAACAATTCATCATTTGCGACAAATAACAGTTCTCTAGAACAAAATTATCTCTCAATCTCACACGTATACTTACACGTAGCATAAAATGAGAATGACTTCTGATTAGTTCTGTCTATAATAAATTAAGCTGGATTAAAACACACGCACACAAAAACACGTACATACACACACAGAGGCATATATACACACTGTTATTGTCTTACAGTTTCTGGTCATCGTCGATCTCGAGTTTCCTCTGGCATCCAGTGGTGGGATTTGCGATGTTGAACTACAAAACAAATTACAAAAATCAGCTAAAAATACTTAATAAAACAAAATTAAGGAGAAATTAAGGTTTATTTAGTAACCTTCATCTTCGGTTGAACTCGTAGGAGGCCGTGAAGATGATGAAGTGCTGTTTAGCTCTATTCGCTATTAGGGTTTTTACGTAATGGATATTTCGGTATTTATAAGGTAGCTGAACTTGGGCCTTAGTGCAGGGACTAAGTGTTGGGCCTTTACTAATGGGCTTTAGTTTTGGGCTATTTATCAGCCTTTCTGCCCCGTGTATTTTTTTTTTGTTTTGGAAAATGACACAGTATAGCTGCTCTCAAAATAATAATTGAAAAAATATATAGTTTTGTATATATATATATTATGTATGTTATATACAAAAATTATATAAATGTTATACACTTTTTCAGCAATCGAATGTATATTATTTCTGGGGCGGGCTAAAAATGGAAAAAACACTATTTTTTATCTTGTTTTAAATTTTTTGGTTACTAGAGAAATTTGTGGCTATTTAGTTTCTAATTGTGCAGCAATTTATTTGTACCTTCTAAAGAAAATATTGGAATTTTATGCTAGAGATTTACTAAAGGTTAGTGAATTGATCAATTATTCATCGTAGGAACCCTCAGTTACTAAGAAATTATACCGTAATTATACTGTAATTCAAACTACAGTAACACGAGTTTGAATTCAATGGTCTCCTAATGTTTTTCCAATTAGCTCTAGAGAAATGCATGAAACAAAGAAAATATTTATGATTTGGAAGAATGATGTATTCTCATTGATTTCATAAAGGAAAAAGCTGCAGGAGCTACGAAAATTGAAGCATATTATACACTTTTCTTCCGAAGTATTTTATACCTTGTCCAGTTCGAATGGATATAATTAAATTTGCTACACTTTACTAACACTTATCCAGATTAATAGCTGATTTAATCTAGAGTTTTATTTGCCGTCTTACATTTTTTATATGCTTAAACTTTTCTTCTTTTCTTATATTCATCACAAATATTATATGGACTCTATTGGAATAGTTTTTTTAAGAAAAAAATAATAAGCATGATGTAATCTAATTAAATTGACGTAGTATCTCAAAAAAGTAAATAGCAAATTATACTATCATGATTTTATTATTCTTATTATCAACTTTTCTGAACATAATTTTTTTAAAAAAGGATGAAAATGCCTTTGATAGCCCTTATAGTTTATCGAAATTACACGTAGAAAAGGGTTATCATTTCAATCCAACAAGCCAACAACTTCAAAAACCAAGGGATAAGGGAGAGTGTAGTTTGTGAAAAGAAAAAAAAGGATGTAATCAATTTGGATAACAAATTGTTCAGTTTTTAGTTTTCATGTCAGACATCTGGACATCTGGTCAAGTCATCTATATATGTCATCCACAGAGTTATAGTACAATACAAAAAACATATACAACCAGCAGCAAATGAGTGTAAAATTTTCAGTAGTTGATCCTCATAGCTAAAAAACAATCATTTACAACTGCAGATTAGACTTTGAGAAGGAAGTATCAGACTCAACAAAGGATATCTGTGACTATGAACTTGATCCACACTCTGCTGCTGGTTTTGATTCAGCACTTACATCATCTGAAGCAGGGAGTTTCTCACTCGAAGCTGACAGCTCATCACCTGGAGAAGCCAATGGTTCATCACATGGAGAAGCCGATGGTTCGCCTGGAGAAGCCGATGGTTCATCACGTGGAGAAGCCCCGGAGAGAATAGGTTTTTTGAGTTGTACTAAAATCATGGTCATATTATCGCATCCTTCACCTCCAGCAGTAGGTGCCAAACACCGATCAAGAACTCTTTCACATACCACTGAAAGCTTGGATTCCTACAAGTTAAACCTCCTAGGTCAATTATAGTTAAAGACTCTCAAACAGAGAGCAGCGCGTTATTTGATGAAGAAAGAACAGAAAATTATCAAAGATAACATGATGCAAATTGACTGGGAACTATTTAGCTGGCCTCAGCCTTGGCTGCATTGTTAATCCAGTGAAGACATGAGAGGAGTGAAGGACAATGTGCCCATTGAATCAGTTGAGTCATCACAAACCTAAGGCTAAGAATCAGCGCAATCATGGAAATCAGGAACTCGAGGTAAAAATGATGAGCCTCCTTACTTCCAAGAAAAATAATTGGAGTTTGCTTATTTCCTAGGTAACTATTACTTCAAAGACTTCGAATTCCTACGCGCCATCATATTTCGGGGGGTCGATTGAATTCCTACATTGGTATCTAAATACAGCGAGTAATTCACTCTTTTCCAACAGAAAATGTCATAGGAAAGACGAACTTTTCTTTTTTCTTTTTTCTTTTCTTGCCCCAGGCCCCACTGATGGGACTTCACTGGGTGTTTGTTGTTGTTTTTCTTGGAAAGTGCAGTGCTTCAAACAAATAATCATATTTAAGCAAACAAAAGTTTATTTGCTTACATAAAAAGATATGAGTGGTTAGAAAGCAAGCACATACTACTCTAGATCTAAAACAAGACTTTGGTTGTGTTTTTTTTATCTTTATACAAACAAGTACTCATGCACAACGAGTGTGATCCAATTTTTCATAGTTTTGAAACTGGAGGTGCAAATTAGTAGATGTGCCTTCTTATACTTGGTTCAACTTCAGCATTGCTAGATAGTTATGTGTAAATAGTCCTAGTCTCATATGTAGTAGGAGTTGAATATGTATTATATAGGACTCATTGTATCATTATTAAAAAATAGATTTTTCTCCCGTACATTCTTACATGGTATCAGAGCTTCAGTGAGAAAATTATCGTTGTGCGTCATTCCAGCGACATCCGGGAAGAAAGATCTCATCGCCGTGCAATTTTCATGCAACTTCGTCTAGTTCCCAAAGTTCATCACCGCTACAGTGGCACTGTGCATATACCAGTAGCACCATCAGATCCGAAACCCTTGTGCGACCAAACCCCAAAAATCCCAGTCCCATCGGAACAGAAAAGTTAGTCACAATGCGTCTTTCCGGTTGACGACTCAAGATTGATTTGCTTTATCTCCTCATTGGTAAGTGTTGTGCGAAAACCAACACTACCGTCTTGTTCAGAAAAGTCAGGCGACAAAACCTCAGTTAATCGCTCCGGCAGAAAGTCCCTCGCATGCCTCCACGTGCCACCAGAACTAGGGTTCCGACGAGCTACAGCTACTTTTCTGGCGCGTGTGAGCCATTCCGGCTACTTTTTGATAAAACTTCTTCAGGACAACTTACTCGTCTAGTGATTCCGAGCCTACCCATATAAATTACATCTGATTCTGGCAACTTTTTTTTCTAGCTTGAACAGTACCCTTTTTCTGGCGTGAACAGTGATTTCCTGCACGTGAATAGTAATTTCCAGAAAGTTTTTGTGTTTCTGGTGGTGTTTTAGAACCTATTTTATAGTATGGTGTTCGGCTGTGAGAATGCACGGGAAAAAATATTATTGATTAATAATGACAATGATACAATGAGCCCTGTATATATATATAATACATATGGGATTAGGGTTATTTACTACTATTTACTATCAAACTAACACTCCCCCTCAAGTTGGTGCATATAAATCGTATGTACCGAGCTTGTTACATATATAACTAATACGAGGACCAGTGACGGACTTGGTGAAAATATCAGCAAGCTGATCATTTGACTTCACAAATTTTGTAACAATTTCTCCCGAGAGTATCTTTTCTCTAACAAAGTGACAGTCAATCTCGATGTGTTTAGTTCTCTCATGGAACACTGGATTTAACGCAATATAAAGAGCAGCTTGATTATCACACACAAGTCCCATCTGACCAATCTCACCAAATTTCAACTCCTTGAGCAACTGTTTGATCCAAATTAGCTCACATGTCGCCATAGCCATTGCTCGATATTCTGCTTCTGCACTAGATCGAGCAACCACAATCTATTTCTTGCTCTTCCAAGACACCAAATTTACTCCTACTAAGAGACAATATCCAGACGTAGAACGTCTATCAGAAGGTGATCCTGCCCAATCAGTATCTGAGCATCCAACAATCTGCTCATGGCCTCGATCCTCAAACAATAAGCCTTTGCCTGGAGCTGATTTTATATACCCAAGAATGCGGCCAACTGCATCCCAATGACTATCACAGGGAGAATCCATAAACTGACTCACAACACTCACAGGAAAGGAAATGTCAGGTCTAGTCACTGTGAGGTAATTTAATTTACCAACCAACTGCCTATATCTTGTAGGATCGCTAAGAGGTTCCCCTTGTCCTGGCAGAATTTTAGAATTCGGATCCATCGGAGCGTTAACAGGTCTACAACCTGTCATTCTTGTCTCCTCAAGAATATCTAAGGCATACTTCCGTTGTGAGATCACAATACCTGAGCTAGACTGAGCGACCTCAATACCTAGAAAATATTTTAATCTGCCCAGATCTTTAGTTTGAAAGTGCTGAAAGAGATGTTGCTTCAACTTACTAATACCATCCTGATCATTGCCGGTAATAACAATATCGTCAACATAAACGACCAGATAAATACAGAGATTTGAAGCAGAATGTCGATAAAATACAAAGTGATTAGCTTCACTACGAGTCATGCCAAACTCCTGAATAACTGTGCTGAACTTACCAAACCAGGCTCGAGGAGACTGCTTTAGATCATAGAGGGACCGCCGCAACCGACATACAAGGCCATTAGACTCCCCCTGAGCAATAAAACCAGGTGGTTGCTCCATATAAACCTCATCCTCAAGGTCACCGTGAAGAAAAGCATTCTTAATGTCCAACTGATAGAGAGGCCAATGGGGAACAACAGCCATGGATAGAAAAAGGCGGACTAATGCAATTTTAGCCACAGGAGAGAAAGTATCACTGTAATCGAGTCCAAATATCTGAGTATATCCTTTGGCAACAAGACGAGCCTTAAGTCGATCAACCTGGCCATCTGGACCAACTTTGACTGCATACACCTAACGACAACCAACAGTCGATTTACCTAAAGGAAGAGGAACAAGCTCCCAAGTACCACTCGTATGTAAAGCAGACATCTCGTCAATCATAGCCTGTCGCCATCCGGGATGAGACAGTGCTTCACCTGTAGACTTAGGGATGGAAACAGAGGACAAAGATGACACAAATGCACAATGGGATGATGACAGACGATGGTAACTTAAACCGACATAATGAGGATTAGGATTAAGTGTGGACCATATACCTTTTCGTAGTGCAATCAGTTGATTAAGAGGAGACAAGTCCGCAGTATTAGCAGGGTCAGGTGCAGGACGTGAATTAGCTGTGCCCGATGTTGGGCACGGACGACGATGATAAGTCAGGAGTGGTGGAGCTATAGAAGGTTGAACTGGACTAGGTGGTGGCATTGGAGCTATAGTTGGTGGAACTGGACTAGGTGGTGGCACTTATTAGATGGTGGCACTGGAGCTATAGGTGGTGGAGCTGTAACTGGAACTATAGGTGGTGGAGCTATGGAGGAAGATGAATGGGAGATAGGGACCAAATCTCCAAAAGAAGGAACTGGTAGCACCTCAGAAATATCTAAGTGATTAACTGGACCTGTAAAGTATGATTGACTTTCAAAGAAGGTAACATCAGCAGACATAAGAAATCGCTGAAGGTCAGGAGAATAACATCGATATCCTTTTTGCGTTCTCGAGTAACCCACAAATATGCACTTAAGAGCACGAGGAGCTAACTTATCTTTTCCTGGAGTAAGGCCATGAACAAAGCACGTACTCCCAAAGACACGGGGTGGAAGAGAGAACAAAGGTAAGTAGGGAAACGGGACAGAGAATGGAACTTAATTTTGGATAGCTGAAGATGGCATACGATTAATAAGATAACAAGATGTAAGAACTGCATCCCCCAAAAACGCAGCGAAACATGAGATTGTATGAGTAGGGTACGAGCAGTTTCAATAAGATGTCTATTATTTCTCTCAGCTACCCCATTTTGTTGGGATGTGTACGGACAAGATGTTTGATGAATAATCCCATGGGAGTTCATAAACTGCTGAAATTGGGAAGACAAATACTCTAGGGCATTATCACTAAGAAATGTGCGGATAGAAACCCCAAATTGATTTTGAATTTCAGCGTGGAAGGTCTGGAAAATAGAAAATAACTCAGATCGATTTTTCATCAAAAATATCCAAGTGCACCTGGAATAATCATCAATGAAACTGACAAAGTAGCAGAATCCCAAGGTAGAACTGACTCGACTAGGACCCCAAATATCTGAATGGACTTTGTAAAAGGTGACTCTGCTCGATTATCAAGACACCGCGGGAAATGGGAGTGGGTATGCTTACCGAGTTGACATGACTCACACTCTAGAGTGGACAAGTGAGATAAGTCAGGTACCATTTTCTGAAGTTTTGACAAATTGGGATGTCCTAACCGTTTATGTAATAAATCTGCTAAATCAGTAACGGGACAAGTTATTGGAGGAAGACAAGATGTGAGTCCATGTGATTTTACAAGGATAAGGTAATAAAGTCCATCTGATTCACGTCCGGTACCAATGATCCGCCCTGTACTGCGATCCTGTATAAAAACAAGGTCATCAAGAAATAAAACAGCAGATTTAAGTGATTTGGCTAAGCGACTAACGGATATGAGATTAAAAGGACTACCATGAACATAAAGAACGGAGTCTAAAGGTAAGGAAGGAAGTGGACTTGCTTGACCTATTGCACTTGCCATGGCTTGAGAGCCATTGGCCATTGTGACTGTTGGAAGAGATTGAGAATATGAAATACTAGTGAAAAGAGATTTGTTACCAGAAATATGATCAGATGCACCTGAATCAATAACCCAAGACTCAGAAGGTGAAGATTGGGAGACACAAGTCATGCTACTATTTGTTGGAACAACGGAGGCTAATCCTGAAGATGTCTGTTTACGTGTTTTGTACTGAAGGAACTCAATATAATCTGGTAAAGAAACCATCTGGATTGGATTCAATGCATTGGATCCAACAGATTGTGAGTTAAAGGCTTCCGATACGAATGTCATTATAATATTGTGCCGCAAAAAGCAGAATTTTTCTAGGGATCACTATTCACGCCGGAAAAATCAATGTAGCTCGCCGGAAAATTCCAAAGTTGTCGGAATCTGTCGGAAATAGTACCAATGGACTCGGAATAGCAAGGAGATGACACTATCCAAAAGAAGCGTTTCAAAATTCTTGCCGGAAAAGCCCTCACGCTCCGGCGAGTGGGACAGACGCGCCGCCGCCGGCAGATCTCCGACAGGCGCGTGGGGGCGCGTGGATGGTCTTTTTCAGGTGACTTTTTCTGGGGTTTGGTCGCCTATCTCTTGGGAACCTTTTGGTGTTGTTGGATGTCGCACAACACTGATAATTAGTGACTTTGACGCAAATAGTCACTTAGGTCACCGGAAAATTGCACGGTGACTGAGTTCTTTCTTCTCGGATGTCGCTGGAANCTATCAAACTAACAGCTTAGTCTCGCTATTTTCATTTTTTTCCGGCAACCTTTCGGCTAACTTCTGTTTATCAGCAACCACCTGGATTTGTTGCTCAGGGGAAGTCTAGTGGTCATGTATGTCGAATGATCAGCTTGCAGATATTATCACTAAGTCTCTGATCCTCGTATTAGTTACTTATGTAACAAGTCAGTATATATAATTTATACGCACCGGCTTGAGGGGGAGTGTTAGATAGCTATGTGTAAATAGTCCTAGTTCCATACGTAGTAGGAGTAGAATATGTATTATATATAGGGCTCATTGTATCATTGTTAAAAAATATATTTTTCTCCCGTGCATTCTCACAAGCCTTATACTCTTTCAATAGCAAAGAAATTTCATTTGTGGCAAATAAGCATGTTCCAAAATGTGGCAAGCATAGCAAAACTCTTTTTATGGATAATGCACTTTCTCACCTAGGTTTTCTACAGGTTTCACTTTTAGTGGCTTTATAATCTTTGGCCTTGGGCACCTCCATAAAGTGAATATGATGAATATCACATAACTCAAAGATCTCAATGCTATAGCTAACACACATATTTGAATTTTTTACTTAAGCATTAATCAATTAATGATACAGAAGCATCATCTATCAGACTAACCGAGTTCAGCTGCTCATGTATAAAGTCCACTAATTGCTGGCTCGACATGCAGTCCCTGAAAAACAACACATACTAATCAGTAGAATTTATTTCTGACAATAAAACATAGAACTTTGGAGCAATGCAAGAGTGGTAGATGAGCCGAAAAACCATAGGATCAATGAAAAATGCGAACCAAGATAGAATATTGTAAAATTGTTGAATACATTAGTCGAGAAGGAAACATAATCTACGCAAAAGGTGAAAGATCACAGGCCACCGCCCTATATTCTTTACACGGAGATCCTCATCCAAGCTAAGAGAAGATGTGCAAACACTCAGATCAATCAATTTACTATGTCTCAGTCCCAACTAGTTTGGAATTGCTGTATGAATCCCAAGGCATTTTGCTTTTTCCTCACAACAAGGAATGCCTAAACTTCGCCTTCTTAAAACATCTGGAGGGATTAAGCTGGCATACTCTCTAGAATAGATTGAAATGAGAGGATTATAGCTCAAATTTCAAATCCTCGCCCATAGTTTGGTTCTCGGGATTCCGCATCATAGGATAACCAGTCAATCATTCTATCTACTCCAGTGCAACACTTGGCTTAATATCAGAATAAAATTTATTAATAAATTACCGTATATGAAGTTAAATTGTTCTACGTGAGAAAATCTTAAGTTATTTATTTTGATATTCATTTCTCATTACACAACTACACAATAAGGGTACATCCGCCGGCCTCCAAAAGTCTAATTTGTTTTGTTAAGTTCAAAAACTAAATCCCAAGGAAACTTGGGAAAGAAAACTTTGACAAAAGAAAGAAAATGGTGGGGAATATTCAAAAGACAGAAAAATTACAAGAAGAGAAAATATACAACCAATATATTCAAAAACAACAGCAAAAAGTGGAAAGGAAAAGCAAGCAAAAGCTTTTCAAATATGCTGGCTGGGGAAATGAAAAAACAGTTAGAGCAAGAAATGGATGGAACATGGTAAACAAACAAAAAGATAAAACCGAAGAACTAAAAAGATGTGCAACCGAAATTTCCAAAAAGAAAAAATGAAATTAGCAAGCAAAATACTTACTCCTTTGTCACAATTTGTATGGAATCTTTTCCTTTTTTACTTCCCAAAAAAAAATGGGTACCTTTCTATATCTAGAAACTGTTTAATTTTTACAATCTCATTTTCCCTTCAATAACATGTTCTAGGAATTACTTTTTGTCACTTTTTTATTAAAAGAGAAGTACAGAGAACAAGACACCACATGGCCAATAAGAAAGAAGAAGAAGAAGAAGAAGAGAAGATGAAGTAACAGGTCAGTCATCCTTCGCATTGAAAAAGTCCTATTGATACTGAGGTTACTTTTGGTACTTTATGTAATTTAAAGTATTAAACTTACATGGAAAAAGTCTTTCTTTTTAAAAAAAATCGTGTACTGTCAAGTATCACCAAGCAAATCGGGATGAAGGAAAAAAAAAGAAACGGCAGCCCAGTGCACAAAGCATCACGCGTTCATGCAGGGTCCGGGGAAGGGCCGCACCCCAAGGGGTGTAAGGTAGGCAACCTACCTTGATGCAAAAAATTTGCAGAAAATAAAAGTTTGAGAAAGAGATTGAAGGAAAGCATATTCTTGTTGAAGAGGCGCTTGCCATGCAAAGAGGTGGGAAGAGCAGGTCAAATCAAGGTTAGGCATGGGGTTTGGTCAAATGAGGGAGGGGAAGCTTGAAGGGAGGGGGAGAGAGATTCTGCCTGAATTGGTGACTTCACCAGCATAGTCATGACTCATGGGAAGAGAGGCTGCACAGGAATGGAGTAGAGCCAGATCAAAGAGAAGGGGAAGGAGGAGGGAGGAAAATGGACTAGCCTTTCCCTTCATCTTTCACATACACGGGGCAAATAAGTCATTTTCTCACTTATCAGTAGGACCCTACATTCTAATTCTTAACTCATACACTATCCCTTCATTATAATTCAATGGCATAATGACAATCCACTTTCATCTTATACCTGAACCAAATGACCCCTGGGTACGATTCTTGAGAATCAGCTCAGTTACATCACAACAATTGCTGGTGTAGTGTCGGTCCTACTTGCAGTGGCTCTTTGGAACAAACTATCTACTACCAGTACAATAGCTTGTCGTAGTGTCAGTCACTAACGACAGATGTAGGGAGCAAAAGGGTACACTACGAAACTCAACAAGCTGGTCATTGCTATTAGAATCGGAAAGGTTAATGCATGATATTCTTTCAATTTGATATGATCTGAAATTTCCTGCCTATCTATTCTTCTTTGTTATAGTCTTAATGTCTAGCAGACTTTTCAAATTGAAATAAAGAGTCTAGAAAGCATACCACACACCATCACAGGCTAGCACAATAAAATCATCATCATCGCATAGTTCAACCTAATTAGAGAACAAAAAAATGTTAGAATCTGTTCTTTAGAAATATAGGAGAAGAGGAAAAGCAATGCAGCATTAATACTATTTCACAATTCAGAGTTGATAAGAACTTTTGATTTCTCAGCAGTTCGTACCAATACTGTCCCTTCCATCCAAATCATAAAGTTAAATGTATCACCAAGAAAGAAGACCGATTCTAAACGAAGCTGTTCTTCTGTTGGATCTTCAATGCAACAGATTTACATTGTAGGATTTTATCTTTGATTGACAAAATGGGTATGCTTTATAAATACCTTGAACAGAGCACCAATAGTAATGTACATTGAACTATAGACTGTGATATTGATAAGAAATAGTTCAACTGCATAATATACAACAGGGAAGATTATTTCGAAAAGAAGCAATATCAATGATCAGGTAATCTTAGCTATGAGCTATAGTTCGGACTTCAGTTTTCACGAGCACATTCCAAATCAAAGATTAGTTTGATTCTCATGGAGGCATAAGCAGGAACCTCACCGGTTATGCCTCTACTTAGGTACTTGTCCCATTTATTGACATTGGGCAAGTGAGGGGTTTTCCTCGTGATAAAGCAGACTGCATCTAACATTTTCCATTTCCATAAATTGTAAAAAGCAGTTCTATGGCTTGTTCTTCTGGAGTTCTTTGTCCAAAAGAGTTACTATAAACACAAACTCCAATAAAATAAGGCCCCAATATAGATCTCTGGAGACTCAATAGATATTAAGAGTATTACATATACACCTGGCTTGTACCAGCATTTTTGAACCTCTAAACTTCTGTACTTCCACAAACAGATGAAAATATAAAGAGGCTTCAAAAGTCTAAGGAACTCAGTTCTGGAGGATCATAGCAGGCAGCATCTCAGATCAAACAATCTTCCCGGACACTCTTTGCATTTGATTCTTCTTGGATCCTTATGAACTATTCCATCTTTTCTCATCACATGGTTATTAACAACTGAGCTGAAAATAATTACTGCAATAGCAGGATAATGAAATTTGATCAACAGTTGGAGTTCCATAGATAAACTTTATGATAAGTTGGAGCACCCAATGATTGTTGGATTGACATTTGGTCACTTTCAGTTTCCAAAATTCGGCACGATTTACCACTGATTGCTATTTCTGAGTGTTGGTCATTTAGAGACTGTTCTCTTCCCTTTTTTTAAGAAAGGAAAAAAACTGTCTCTAAATGGACAACACGCTGAAATAGAGACAGAGTTTACACATGGAACAAAGAATATTATGCACTATCAATAGCATTAGAACTTCTCAGAGAATAGATGTCTTAAAATTATGATCGAAGACATTGCACGATTTACGAAGAATTTTAAGGAACATACAATATTTATGTCTGGATCGGCTGTAACAACTTGCTTCTCAGCTGGCAAAAACTTATTCTGCTTGAATTCCATGTCACCTGCAAAGAAGTTAAAAATATGCTAGCTACCTCATCCAATAGATACTTTTCTTCCCACCTATTCCTAAATAACCAAAAGTTTAAATTGTGAATTTGCCACTTAGAAAATAGATCCTAATTACAGCTTCTATCTTGCTCCATTACTGATATTGCAAACTGCATCTCAATTGGCTAGTGTTTAAGCAGATTAATAAAGTTTCACAAACAAAATAGCATAATACCTATAGCTCTTGCAAGATTTAAGCTACCATTAACACGTCCTGCGTGGATGAAACCACCTGCTTTCAGGATCCTCTCTCTTTCAATCTCAAGATCAGGTTTGTGATCCCTTGATAGATTATACGCCTGCACAAAGACATGTGAAAATTCAATTCTAATGCTTGGTATTAAACCATAAAATTAACCAATGCATCATTGTGAGAACAAATGCATCCATGACTGCACATGACAAAGTACGACCCAGCTCTAGCAAGTTCAGTGCCATGGCATGCTGAGCTGCCCTGTCGGAACACGACTTTAGATACAAAACATCTACCCAAAGAGAAAAGTACAAGAAGGCAGGAAAGACAGTAATTAACTCGAAGATAGCATCCCACCTGGCCCTTACGTGAAATCACACAACGAGAATCACCAGCATTCGCAACAGTGACTTGGTTCTCTCTAATGATTGCAACACAAGCCGTACTTCCAGAAGTTGGTCCAGGAAAATCAGAGTGAGGCCCCTGATAACAGCAAACATATAGCCATAAAACAATCAATCAATGAGCACAACAACGGAAATATGCAGGTAGCTCGGCCTCCCGCCACCCAATGTGCCACAAGAAATGACAGGGAATTGAAAATTACATGCCCTTAATTAAAAATTGATATGTCAACTATAAACAAAAGGAAAACAATAAATCACACTATATCCCAATTTCTGCACGTACCTCCTCAAAGGCCCAATCATCAGTATTGCCGTTTCCATCACCATTTCTTGGAGACCATATAAGACCCTCTATCATACCCGTAAACTTGTTTAATCTATCCCCTAACGCAGCCAGCTCCCTCCATCCTCTCTGACCACGCATCATCTCATCCATTCTGCACCAAGAACAGAACAAAATCTTTCAACACACAGCTTAGCAACATAAAAGGGAATTAGTGATCTCATAATGCAAAAAATGCAAGCATGACTTGGATCTTCATTCAATTACAACTTTAGACCGTTTCATACCAAAAGATCTCTGCTGGAAGGTTAGGCAAGCTGAATTAATAGGATTATTAGCTATAAAATGGTTAACAATGGCCTGGGGAGTTGATATCATCCTAAGCAATGCACTTCTTCCTAACGTTCCTCAGTTTCTTGGCACTTCACAATTCTATTTTCTTGTAAGTACCCTCTCTATTCTCTGTGTCAAACATGCGCACAAACAACAATTAAGCTTTTATACACTAGCATTAACGAAATAGAATTTCTTTCTTCGGTCTTTTTTGCACGGGTTACGTGGCAGGGTCAGAGGGATACGAAGGTATTGACTTCCATATCGATATGGGAATGATGACTTCTCTTTTTATTTCCCCATATACTAGGTTATCCTAAGTAAAGTTAAGTCTTTGCTGCTTCGTCCGACCTATCTAGTCTGGTATTTACTATTCAATTTCAATATTCATAGAGAAGAGGAGAGTTTTCTCTGTCTATATCTTGACCATAGCAATCTAGAACAGGTAGAATAGATCAAACATCAAGGGGGAGAGACACGAAAAAGCAACAGCAAAAAGAAAGGAGGGGCAGAGATAAACTAGTTAGAGATTGTTGTTCTGCCAATCTAATCAAATGGTGTTAATCTAAATAATCTTTATACCTGACAGATAAGAGAACCTGGTCAGCCCTAAATATATTGAAGTTTTTCATGCTTAAAACTTAATGTTGGGGCAGAATTTCAGGGGGTGACGGAAATTGGGACAGCCCTAAATATATTACTTTTAAAGCTTTCATTTTTGTTCCTTCTATCGAAGTAATGACTATCAATGCAACTTAGGTTTTCTATCTGAATGTCAAGGATGCGACGTGACAGTTGATAATTACCATTGGAGAACCAACAAAAGAACTTAAGTTTCAGGAGTAATAAAAAGAAGGCCAATACCGAGACGGACCCTTAAAAATCAACTTAAGCTAGTACCTATTGAACACCTCACGAAAAATACCTAAGTCCAGCCACATGAACTACACGTGCAGTGACGTGGCAAAATGGATGAATCAGAAAATGCCACATGGCTTTTGAATATAAAAAAAGACCTTTGAGGAAGGAAAAAAAGGAAAGAAAACAAAAAGAAGAAACAAGACTTCTTCCATAACCCCATTGCAGCCGCCATCATGTCCCCAGCCTTTTAATATCTACCACCACTCACAATTTTAGGGTTTCCCTAGACATCCCCATCCCATACCCCGTTTGCTTCCA